ATTTTCTCTCTTCTTCTTTTATTGAATTCCCTGAAAGTTGGTGTGACTTTATTTCCCAGGCTTCGCTCCTATACACCTTGTCCAGTTCTCTAACTTTGCTGGGATGTAGGGAAACTATTCATTTTGCTCAATTAGGAGGGCAGTAGGCTAGCTTACTAGACATGTTTGTAAATTCTAGCTAATATCTTTCCATTGATTCACTCGGATTTCATATAAGTATCATTTGCAGATAATGGTTGGTTAATCATTTTGATTTTTAAAGTTATTTATTGTTCTTATTTCTTGTCCTGACTTTGTACTGGATAAAACTCCTCAAAATGTGTAGGACACTCTTAGAGGTCCCCTTGGCCTTGTGCTTCCAAAGACACAACCTTGTTCTATGTGCTGCGCCCAGCTTCCCTCTAATTCATCTCTTTCTCCTTGGAAGACCTTACTGGGCCCTCTGGGAAGGGCTTGCATAGCTTAGCCCCTTCTGGATTCTTCTGGGGTCTGCCTGTCTGAGGAGAAGGTCATCTTGGTTTCTCTGCATCCTGGGAAGGGTAGCCCTGGTGGTGAGGTGGGGAAGGAGGCTCAGGGCTGCAATGATGTGTGTGGTGCCTGATTCAGGAGTTGAGGGAAAGCTCCTCTGGCTTCTGATCTGAAGACACTTTCTTCGTTGGCCTTGTCAGTGATGAAGCTGACACTCTGAGCCCCTCTGTCTGATGCCTCCTCTCAACTGATTCCAAAATGAAACAGAGCAGAAGTGATCATAGTTAGCTGGACTGCATTGTCCTTGACCACAGTAAACATCTTTGTCTCGGCATTAAATCTGAGGTTGGTTGTTGCCTTTAGAAAGACAGTCTCTCTCATATGAGAGCCTCCTTTAGAGAAGGTGCCCTCCGGGGCATGCCCGTGGGCCCTGCAGGGCTCACCGACTTCCACACCAGTCTGACCTCATGGGCAGCAAACTACGCGACATTAAAAATTCCACAAAATACTCATGCTCCTGGATGGGGATCTGTGCTATCAATCCTCTACCTAAACACATGTGTGAACATAACGTGACATAAGTCACAATCCATATGTCAGTGAGACTACGTGAACTAGGGGACCCTCCGATGATTGCTGAAAAATTAAAGCAGAAGGTGAAGTGACCTCTGTCTGACCCAGAGAAAGCCGGGATCTGCCTGCCATTGATTGCTTAAATGTATTCCGCACCTTCCAAGGGCAGTTGCAGGAGGAGAAAGTCAAATATAAGATTTCTAAGAAATGAAGAGAGAAATATTGGTGCAGGGTTCCTTCCCCCTCAAGGATGGAGGTGGGGTGGGCAGTGGGGGGAGCGGGAGTCCCATGAGCTAATCAAACAAGAAAAGATAAAGAAATAGAGATTAGACGATTTCACACTGGAATAAAGAAATTCATGTTGCCTTAAATATAATTTGTGTTAGTTACATTTCAATTCCTAATTTATACATAGCAGGGTTGATGCAGAATTGCATTATAACAAAATTAGCCGGAATAATTAGCATAGCGTATGTGCCTCTGATTAAACACCCAGCAGATCACTTGGTAATTAAGATTAGCAAGCACTGCCGTCTCAGGCTTTGTCATCTTATTATCTGCCTCACAAGTGCTTCCTCTTCGCCTCCCTTCTGATTTGAAGTTGGGGAGCAATCTCTAACCATCCTCACTTTATTTCTTTAAATTACCTTGCCCAAACTCCGATCCTTTTCCTGTGGCACTGCTCTCCCTCTTAGTATCTACACTAGGGGTGTCGAACTCAATCAGAGAAGGGGCCAAAATCTAAAATCCAGCCTAAATCGCGGGCCGAACGGTTTACTGAACAGTCATAAACTGTCATTGTGATGGAAACGCAGCGGAGTGCAGTGATGACAGCGCGGTGCGGGCCACATTGCAAGGCCTGGCGGGACGGATTTGGCCAGTGGGCCTTGTGTTTGACACATGTGATCTACACCAATGTGCTGGTGTCAAATTTCTCTCTCACGTAAGGAATTCGATGCTGCAAAGCATTTGTGCTTTGAAACAGGGGTTCAAAACTTTCAACACCCATCATTCTTTGGTCGAAGAGAGAACCAGCAGCCTACCACGCTCACAGCCTAACACCTGAGCTGAAGACTGAGCCAGCAGGTTCCTATCTCTTTTCCAGGCCAAGCCGGTGGCCAGTGGTTCCAGGAATGTGGCCATCTGGGTTGTTTTCCATCCTGGTGACACTGGATGGCAGTCCCTCAGGGGCCTGGCTGCCTGCTCACCGATGACCTCAGGCCGTGGCCATGGCTCCTCCACTCGGGGACTCTGGGGCTGGCTGCTGGCCCTGCACCATCAGGGAGACAATCATGGAAGGCCCGAGTCCAGTAACCAAAGCTTGGAAAACTCGGGGGATCAACTCACATTCTCAGCACAGGCTGAGCCAGTTCTGTGGCCTCTCTCTGAAGCCAGGACATGTCCATAATTTTAATGGCAGCTAGCCCTGGGCTCCTATCAATGCCTGTTCTTTTAAGGACACAGTGTAATCTGCAATGCTCTATCCGCCAGGAATACCTGCAGCTACACTCACAGTTAAGTGCCTGGACAGTGTTCGCGGGATAAAAACAAGAAGTCCCGTGGCTGGCAGCCCAGAACCGGGACAAAAGTTCAGAAATGTCATCGAGGAGCCATCTCTCCTCCTCTTTCTGTCCCCCTCCCCTCAGGTAGTGATCCCCATCTCAAGCGTGTCACCTCATCACTGTGCGAGGGCTGCCCCAGCTCCACACACCATGCCCAGCCCAAGGGAAGAAGGAAGGGGAAAGGGGGTGCCAGCCATTGCATCCCTTTCCATCAAGAAAGCAGAAAACTCCCACAGGCACCAGAGCAGGCCATGCCCACTCTCACTGGCCAGAACTGGGTTGCAAAGGAGACTAGGATTGACTGATACTACTGACATATGTACATCAATATGATTCATCACAGGGGCCAGGTATGTTGTCACAGCAAGGAAGGCCCAGGCTCTATGAGGCAGGAGGAAGGATAACAGACATTGAAAGGAGTCCAGGGCTAGCTCCTCAAATGCAGGTGCCAGACATGTTGCAAAAAGTGTCAATATTTGGACCAAAACCTGCACGGAGGCACCTGGGAGCTGGGAGGAGGAGGGGAGTATTAGAGAAAGAGAGAGGCTTATTTTAAGGAATGGGCTCATGTAACTGTGGAGACTGGCAAGTCCAAAATCTGTGGGGTAGCCAGCAGGCTAGAGACCCAGAGAAAGTTGCAGTGCAAGTCCAAAGGCCCTCTTGCTTGGGAGACATCAGTCCTTATCCTATTCAAGCCTTCGACTGATTGAGTGAGGCCCACCCACATTGTGAGGTATAATCTGCTTTACTCTAAGTCCACCAACTTAAGCATTAATTCCATCCCAAAGAAACATCTTGCAGAAACATCCAGGATAATGTTTGACCAAATATTTGGGTACTGCGGCCCACCCAGGTTGACCCAAAATTAATCATCACAAGGAGAGATGAGAGAATGTGAGAAAAGGAAGAGGTGGTAGGATAAGGGTGCACAGTGGAGGAGTCTCTATAAAAGCTACATGAGGAATAGAAACGTTTTTAAGGACACACATTTGCAACTAGCAGATAAGTCCTGGGGAGCTAATGCACAATGTAGTGACCATAGACAACAATATCCTATATAATAAAAGCCTAATATGCTAAGTGTCCCCAGTCATCCATTCAACCAATCCAAGCATAATATGTTAATGATATGCTAAGGCCACTCAACCACTTGCTATGCTGTGCACTGACCACCAGGGGGCAGACACTCCAACTGGTAGGTTAGCTTGCTGCTGGGGTCTAGCCAATGAGGACTAAGCGAGATGGGCCAGACCAGACATGCCCTGGAGCTTTCCTGCAGTCCCTCCCCAGCTGGCCAACCTCCTGCAGCTCCCCCACCCTAATCATGCACTGGTGGGGGCCTAAGGGGACCCTATCCACCCCCTGCCCCAGTGCACAAATTTTGAGCACCAGGCCTCTTAGTTGTATTATAAACACCAATCTTGCTGAGAGACTGGATCCTAATTATTCCCACCACAAAAAAAGAAACAATAACCAGGTAAGGTGGCAGAGGAGCTAGCTAGCACTGCATGGTGATCATATTGCAACATGTAAATGTATCAAATCAACATTACTGGAAGGAGGAGGGGAGTATTACACATAATGTTGTATAGCAAATATATTTCAATTCAAAAAAGAATCTAAAAGTGTATTAATTTTTTGAAAGCTATACGGCGCAGCCTGGGCCCCTCAGGTCACCACAAAATACAGGGAAGTGCTGGGGCAGCTGGGCTCTGTGCCCCAGTTAATGTGGGGGTCCAGGACCATCAGACAGAGAGGTCATGAGAAAAAAAGTCCCCACTCCCCCCTGAATGCACAGAAATCAACATGAGGGGCGTTGTACTCCCACAGTGGTGGAATCGGGTACTCTAAGCCAAGTTACCAGCCCGGAGGGGGGTGGAGACCTCCGCCAACATATAGGTTACTCTTTCTTGTTCACTTGTGTGGTGCTTTTGTCTTCTTGACACTAGCCAGCGGTCTCTGAATTTGGAAGCCAAAGATTCCCCTCCATTCTCTCCAGTTCAAAACGTGTCCAGTTTATAGTCAGGCTGGCTCTCCTTTCAGATGAAGCGAGGGAGCCGTCAGGGGGACATCCCGAAGTGTCCCTTCCACAGAAGGAGGCTCCAAGCCCAGTCTTCAGAGTTTCAGGTAGAGTCTCTCTCTCTTGATCTAAGAAGACAGGGTTCAACAGCACCGGTGAGAACTTCCGTCTCAAATATGTTCCCTCCTTTTTCCCACCCCCTCACCCACACGTCCACTGCCCATCTCTAGAATAATCTCTCCTGGGGCCTCAGGGAGATGAATTCTGCCTCCCGGTGAAGGAGGGGGAGGGAGGGCTGTAACGCAAGCCTGCTTCTTCTATTTATAGCGTCCCCACACCACAGCTGCTAACTCTGGGCTCGGCTGAGGAGCAAAGAAGCCTGGTCAACACGCAAGCGACCTTGCAATGTCTAGCTCCGACTGCCTCCCCGACCACCCACTCAGCTCAGACCTAGTGAGGAGGCTGAAGTCCGCGCTGGACGCCAGGGATGAGGAGACGGTGAGCGCCGTGATCTGCACCCAGGTCAGGCACGTGGACGCCGTGATAGAACTGGCCAACGACGACTGGATGAAAGACCCCGCGGTCCAGCTGCCCCCCCAGGTGCTCCTAGGTAACCAATCTCCTGTGCTTAAAACTGTAACCCTCATGTGTGCGTGTGACGCAGGCGGGCCATTCCTGGAGCTGGGAGGGAGGACGGTTGAAAAAGCAAATGATAGTTCTTGGCTGTGGGATTCTTACATCCCTACACGCACATGTGCTGCTTAGACTGTGGATATCCACGTGTAACACAGGCAACCGTTAAGAGCCCCGTGCAACACGTTTAAAAAGAGAAAGGTGAACCCAAGGCACCACCATCCTAAAACAGTGCCTGTCTTCATTGCTGGTCCATTTGCAAGTCAATGGCCCCCACTTGGAACCAGGTCGGAGGTATAATTTTGTGTTCTGCTCCGTAGAGTTACTAGACCTAAAGTATTTTCCATGGTGCTTCATAGTGGTCTTAATTCAATCACCTGTTGAGGTGATTCATCACAAAATACTTAAACCAAATGCCTACAAGAGGAGAACCTCTGTGTACATTGTTGCTACTATCAATACTGCTGTAATTAGCATCTTTATTAGCATTCCTGGGGCCTTTGTCTTATTTGGGTGATATTATATATTAGAATGCTAGTAAATTCCTGAGAGCCATATTACTGCCACAAGGATATAAAAGCTCCCAAATTGTGTTCTGAAAGGATTTCTATTCGCTCTGGCCATGCCTGCCTATGTCTCACCATACTCTGGGCATTGCCGCTGATGCACGCTGGTATTTAACCTCAGTTTAATGCGTGCATCCTGGTCGTTCTCCGTGCCTGCTCGCTGCCCTTTCTCTGCTGCTCAGGACAGTCTTGTCCACGTGGCTTGTCTGTTCAGGTCCTTGGGCAATAGCTCCCATTTCTTTGTATCCTTTTTGTCATTTTTGACAGACTTCTTCACGGAACATATAGGTACATAAAATCACTTTGTCCTGCTTGCTGGAAATCTTTTCCCTGACTTGGGAGTTACTTTTGGTTATATTGTGCTGTTTTCTAGCTGGTCCGCTATGCCCTCTGCTCACCTAGGCCAGCACCTACCCTGTCTGTCCAGACCCGCACACATGGCCACCTCCCCTGCAAGGCCATGCCTGCTGCCCCAGCCAGCAGACTCACCTCCTCCCTCACTGGAGCTTAATGCTCTCCATCTCTTAGTGACAGGATCACACGGCCTTGCTGGCTAATTTTTATAACCCACTGAATATTTCACACCCAAGTTCAGCCTCTGAAGGGCAAAGATCCTTGTCGGACCCTGTTGGTATCCAGCCCCCTGCACAGAGTCTTTGTCCTAAGAGGGAGCTCAGGCTGAGTGTCCCACCTGGCACGGACAGGCCAGCTCCTTTTGATCATTCGGCTGAGTGGGCACAGACCACCTTTCCACAGGAGCTTCTGGGCCTGGTCTTTCTGCAAAAAACTATCTAGTTCTCCTTTCTGCTGATGCCGAGCCTCTGCTGTTTAATACCTTTTATCAGGGACAGTTGCGTTATTTGTCCTTGCCTCTCTTCTGTGCCTATCAGCACAGCAACCACTGAGAATGAGCGGAGGGAGCAGGGGCAGCCGGGGGAGGGGTGATGAGACCCTTTGTGCCCCCAAATGCATCAAAGGTACAATTTGGTAACCAGTGTAATCAAACTACTTAAGGAACAACTGATTACTAATTGCTATTATGAAAGATGTCAGCATCCCATGATTTTGCTGCTAACACGGTATATACAAGTCAAGATGCTACTTGAATTCTTGCTGGAAATGGAAAGCCAGAAGCATTATGTTGTGTTTGGGGCAATGGTAGTGAGCATCTGGAGGCAAGTTAAAAAAATGCTAATTGGATTTTTATTCAGAGATCTCACCCAGCAGCGTGGGTGGGTGGGGCATGAACATGTGTGAACACATGACAGGCACATGTATGTATGCCAAGACCAGGTCATTTTTGGAATTCCATTTCTCATTCAACCTTTGCCCCAGAGGCTTGACGCTAAGCAGCCCTGACATTAGAGCCACGGCCATTGCTCCTGGCCTATTCGTGGGGAGGACCTCCTCCCGGGGCAGACCAACAGTTAGATGTCAGGTACATGAGCACAGCTCCTGCCTTAGCGGACTCCTTGGCACCAATGACAAGAGCATGCGCAGTGAGTGGCTCTGAGACATGAGTCGTAATGGGAATGGCAAGAGAATAGCAGTGAAGTGACCTGGTTCTTGCCTTGATTCTACTACCACTGCCTGTATGGTCTTGAACCTGCCAGTCCATCTCTCTGAACCTAATTTTCTCATTGAAACAAATGGGCCAGCCCTGGCCAGTAGCCCAGAGGTTAGAGCATTTGTCTGCCCATCAAAGTGTTGAGGGTACAATTCCCAGTTAAGGGCACATACTTGGGTTGCAGGTTCCATCCCAGCCTGGGGTTGGGTGTGTACAGGAGGCAACCAATGGATGTCTGATTCCCATCCATGTTTTTCTCTCTATTGCCCCCCTTCCTTTCTCCCACTCATTCTAAAAATCATTGGAGGCCTAGTGGGTTTGGTTCAGTGGTTAGGGCATTGGCCTGCTCACTGAAGGGTCATAGGTCTGATTCTAGTCAAGGGCATATACTTCGGTTGCAGGCTCGATGCCCAGGCCCGGTCAGGGCACGTGCAGGAGGCAACCAATCAATGTGTCTCTCACATGGATGTTTCTCTCTGTCTCTTCCCCTCCCTTCCACTCTCTCAAAAAATCAATGGGAAAAAAATATCTTCAGGTGAGGATTAACAATAACAACAAAAACCCAATGGGAAAAAAATATATCCTTGAATGAAGATTAACAAAAAAGAAAAAGAAAAAGTGGGCCATCTCTCAGGGTCTTTACAAATCGGACTAGCTAGGGTTCCGGGTCTAATAACTTCAGTTTGCTGAGGAGTGGACAAACACCCGCTGCTTTCACAGGTGTGGTGCATCCTAACAGGCTGTGTGGACTGGCCCCGTCTTCAAGGGGAGGCCAGTTGGGCAGGGGAGGAACTGCCTAGAAGGCTGGGGGAGATTGCTTTATGAGCTCCAATGCTCCAGATCTGTGGTTGGCAAACTGCGGCTCGCGAGCCACAGTTTGCCATTCTGTTGACTAATGAGTTTGCCGACCACTGCTCCAGATAAGCAACAGTGTGGCCCAGGGCCAGCCCTGTACTGTTGTTAGGCAGAATACGTCCCCAAAGCAGAGCATGTGAGAACTGGAAGGAGCCCTAAGTGGAGGCAGAGTAAGGAGTCACTGTGCAGGGAGGACTTGTAGTCAACGTGCATTTCCCAAGGGGCTAGGTGAGGCTCAGAGAGGTTGCATTACACCCTGTGGTCCCACAGCCGACAGGAGGTAGAGCCCAGTGATGCCTGTAGTGCATCCTATGGCTGAGTTTTACAAATGGGACATTGAGGCTCACATCTGTTCCCTGACTGGTCAACAGCCAGTCAGGGGCAGCATGTTATCCAGGTGTGTTCCTGACTTGTAGTCCAGGGCTCTTGATGCCCACCCCCCAGAGACGTGGTGCAGGAGGATCCATGAAGAAATGTCCCCCGTGAAGCTGTGTACAACCCTTTGGTTTTACATTATACATAAACACATGCACATACACATACACATGTGTGGGGGGCACATGCATACATGCACATATGTGTGCGTAACTGCTGGCACATGCACACAACATATCAATAACATGAGTCCTTGACTTTAAATAAGAGTGTCAAGAAAAACAAGAGTGTGAGTGGGGTACTCAGATGCAGAATAAAAGCAGAAATGGGGAGCAGGAGGCCACTGACAACAGGGGAAGATAGAAAGGAAAGCTCTCAGCCATCTCGCCTGCACACCCTGAGCAAGGAACGTGGGGGCAGGGAGACCCTGCTCCAAGCAAAATGAAATTAAACCTTTCTAAGTACTTATAAATCAGCACCTAATGACAGTATCCCGCCACCAGCCAGAGCATTGCTCTTATTACTTTGATTCACAAGCCAGGAAAAGATCTGGAATTATGCACAAATTATTGTCCCATCTTCTTAATTAACACTGATTGCAAAATTCTTGCTAAAGTCCTTGCTAACAGACTCAATTATGCGCTGCCTGAATTGATTCACCCAGATCAAGTGGAATTTATTAGAAATACACTCTCCTACAATAACATCAGATTATCTTTGAATATAGTTAAATTATTTAGGAATAAAATGATTCCAGCAGCAGCCCTTGCTTTACATATAGAAAAATATCTCCCGCCACCTAGAATGAAGACACTGCTTTTCTTTCTACCAAACACCCTGGGCTCTTTTTTTCCCCCCAGAAGCAGGCTGAATCGCTGTCTCGAGATGAGATGCCTGCCTTAGAGCTAATGGTCCAGCTTCAAAGCAGATGAGCAGGAAGAAAAATCCTGCAGGGTTAAGTCTCTGCTCTCTCAAATCTGAACCCTCGCTGACTATGGAACACAGTGGCACTGCAATTAGACCTAATCAGGGTATTTTCAGAATCAAAACTGAGAAACAAGCTAATAAAGAAATAATGTGTGTGCTGATGACATACTTCTGTTAGCATCACTGCCAAGCTTGGTGGCGAGGTTTGAAAGGACAAAAAGGAATGAGGGTGCAGTAGAGAGGCTGCCTCCCTTCCAGGGTGGCAGTGGCTCCTGCAGCCTCATGCTCTGCTTGGGATAAACACTCCGGGTGAACTGGGAATGGCAAACACACTTCCTACAGCCTGGTTCTACCTCCAATCCCATCACCTAACCTCTTCAAATACCCAGTCCAGCAACTGAATACTGGACAGGGACTGGGTGTGTCCTATTCACCATACCCTAGCACACAGTAGGTCTATAATAAATATTAATAGACCAAACAGGAAATGGAGGACACTAAAAATCTCCTAGGTTGACCCTTCAAAGATGAGCGTGATTTTAATAGTCTGCCGTCAAAAGAGGCTCCCGCTAAAGGCAGCAGAGTGAACAGATGTGGGGCATGCCACCTTGCACAAGGAAGTGGGCATCCCTAGGAATGCGGGGTGTAAATCAGAGGAGAGAGAGGAAAAGCCAGGCCAGTAATAGG